CTAAAGCAAGATTTGGGCTTATATATAGGTACTTCACGGCCAAAGTATATACTCGCAGCAGCTGTATCTGGGATCTTGGGAGATTCGAGACCGATCACTTCCGCTGCGTTTGATGGCATGCTGGGCGCTTTCCCTGTGATCTAGATTACCTGTAGTCTCCATTGTAGTTCCTTTTTGGGGATACCTTATAACATCCTTAATATATAATTGGTTAAACCACAAAAAGGAACTACAATGGAGACCATAGGTAGATTAGAAACTATGTTAGGGGGGGCTTTCCGAGTTGGGGGCTTCGGGTCTTGGGGTTGCTATAGCGGTTTAGGGTTTAGGGTTTAGGGTTTAGGGTTTAGGGTTTAGGGTTTAGGGTTTAGGGTATAGGATCACCAGACGTAGTATGTAGGGCTATAAGTACGGCAAATGTCTGCAGCTACTTAGAAAACCCAATGAAGCGACTTATAGCCCTACGTACGGAGTCCCCTGACCTAAAACCCTAAACCCTAAACCCTGAAATCCCTAAACCCTAGACCCTAAAACCCTGAAATTCCTCAAGTAAGAGCATTAGGTGTTCATGGCTCCCGGGGTCATGGCATCTGATGACGGCTTGTCGAATCGGGTGTATTGGGTTCACGGTCGAGGGCTTTAGGGTTTAAGGTTAAGGGCTTTTGGTTTTAGGGTTTAAGGCTTAGGGTTTAAGGTTTAAGGTTTAGGGTTTAGGGTTTCGGGTTTAGGGTTTGAGGTGTAGGGCCTAGGGTTGAGGGCTTTAGGGTTTAGGGTTTTCGGTGTCAGTCCGCTGGAATGGAACACCAAGACTGTCTAAAACGACCTTCGACTCTCGAAGTGGCTCGGTACGTATTGCGGCGACTTACATCACAGACCCGATTTCTGGCCCTTAAGCCCACAACCCCAAACCCTAACGCCCTAAACCCCAAAGCCGAAAAACTCCAGAACCCTAAACCCCTAAACCCCTAAACCCTAAAACCCTAAACCCTAAAACCCTAAACCTCAAAGCCCTAAACCCCAAAGCCCTAAACCCTGATCACCGTTTGGATGATGAGACCACGGCCATGACGACGGCCGCCAGGATCAACTCCAACCCTCAGCAAGGCACTGGCATGCAACCCTACAGGAACCGGAAAACCGTGGTTTAGGGTTCAGGGTATAGGGTTTCGGGTTCAGGGTATAATGGGTTTAGGGGTTCAGGGTATAATGGGTTTAGGGTTTAGGGTTCAGGGTTTGGGGTTTAGGGTTCAGGGTTTAGGGTTTAGGGTTCAGGGTATAGGGTTTCGGGTTCAGGGTATGATGGGTTTAGGCGTTTAGGGTTCAGGGTATAGGGTTTAGGGTGCAGGGTTTAGGGTTTAGGGTTCAGGGTATAGGTATTCGGGTTCAGGGGATAATGGGTTTAGGGGTTTAGGGTTCAGGGTATAGGGTTTGGGGCTTAGGGTGCAGGGTATAGGGTTCAGGGTATAGGGTTTAGGGTTAAACCCTCATCCCCAAACCCCAAACCCTAAACCGAAATTGGCGTTGAAGGCAAGGCTTTGATTGGTTTACGCCAGGACCTTTTCCTACTGCTCTACTTAAAGGATCATGGGACTTAGTAAGTAGGGTTACAACTAAGGTAAGTATACTTATAACCCCAATTAGGGGACTCATAACCTTACTTACTAAGTCCCATGGTCCTCCAAGTACGGCATGCTCGGCACAATGCTTCAGGTCATAGGGTATCCAAGCCAGGATCGGCTTAACAGGGTTTAAAGTATCTAGGGTTTAGGGTTTAGGGTATCTCGAAGCTGCCCGTGCTGTCAGCAACAGAGTCACCCCAAGCAAGCTGCAGTCTATTTCAGACAGAAACCCGACTAGCTAGGCTAGAGCTTGGGGGGATTCCTCTTCTAGAAACATACCACGGAACCCAATGCAATACCATTTTGAACTGCTCTGTCTTCTACATTTATTCAGCTTGTTCGTCCCGGCGCCCTGGTATGCCAATAAATCCGAAACCCTAAACCCTAAACCCTAAACCCTAACCCATTCCTTGCTGCTCTGCGCCTCTGTAGAAGGTTGGGGGTTCACGTTTTTTCATGTGGAAGGGTTGCCGAACGGTTCAAAATTCAAGGCAGAAGGTCCAAAACCCGAGAGGCCCTAAGGGAAAATCCTGACCCTCAGGGTCCATGTATTCATGTAGTATATGGGTAGTTCTCTAAGTTTGGGTTCCTTCGTGGGTCCCCAATAGAGTACGGCCACCAATACAAAATGGTACCTGAAAGGGACCCCTTTTTTTTCAGAGAACTACCAAGATTCTTTGGCCTTCAAGCAGGCCGTAATGCTGGGTCGGTAATAATTAGAATAGGGTTGTGGGGTCTATTATACTATAACTATAATAATGAACCCCCAAAATTTACTCTAATTATTAAGGCTGTAATATTATATGGGTACGTACTTTCGGGCCAAGGTATACCAGGGTGAAGAACCAGGAGCTTAGATCTCCTATAGCGTTTAGGGCTTAGGGGTTTAGGGGTTTAGGGCTTTAGGGTTTTAGGGTTTGGGGTTTAGGTTTTAGGGTTTATAGTAGAAGCCCAAAAGTTGGAAACACAATAGCCTCTATCCAAAAGAGTAATGCATCGGGAATCGCAGCACTAATTGTCTTTAATCCGGTTTCCAACTTTTGGGGGTTTACTATATCCTCAACCTTCAACACTGGACCCTAAATCCCACAGGCGGCGAGGCCTAACCAAACGAATCGGCGGGAGATGGGATGCAAGCGATTCAGTACGGCCTGGCCGGCATTTGACATAGATTCCCTCCTAAGCTCTACCTGGACCCTAAAGAACCTACCTTTTTAGGGTCCCTTATTATGAACTCTTTATATAAGTCCCTAAAAAGGTAGGTTATTTGGGGTCAAGGTACACCCTAAACCCTATAAAATAGACCGTAGCCACCAAGCCGAAACTCGAAACCAAAAGCTCGAACACCCTCCAAACCAGATTCCTGAGGAAAGGCGGTCACAAATCTCAGATTCCCAAGCTCAGGGAATCGCGAGGCTTGCCAGATTTCCTAAACCTTCCAGGAAGTTTCGTGATGACGTTGCCTTGAATCCCCGAACGTCCCAAACACTAGGAATTGCAACACCGTGGGCTCAGGACTGAGGGTAGTGGAGTTTGGGCCGCGAAACAGGGGCCTTAGTGATTAGAATAGGGTTTTTGAATATATCAGGTCTTATAATATTTATTATGAGCCCTAATGATTCAGGAGTTGTGTGGTGCTCTGGGTGTGCCAGTATTGTGCTGCAAGGTTAGCAATCTTGGGCTCTTGAGGCCACAGGCGATACTGATACTTACGTAGGACACGTTACGACTGCTTGGAAATGAAGGGGCCTTCGCAAAATAAGTTCGGGCCTGAGCGGATAGGGGATACACAATACACATATATATATATATATATGTGTGTGTGTTATATATATATATATCCTCATACATATATATACACATGTATTAAAATAAAGAATTATTTGTATTTATTTATTCAACGACGAGCACACGCGGGTCGCACACCCGGCATCATGAAGTGCTGCGGGGAAGCTTGCATAGATAGAGCCTGGTTCCCTATTTACCAAACGTGATCTTCTTGGGACTTTGTACTACCACCCTGAAGCAAAAGGCTCGACAATGATGCTCAGATGCTCACATTTGATCCTAAGTTCCGTACTCTGACAAATCTTGTCATGTACCACCACCTGTGGCCCAAAAGACTTGAGGAACTGTAAATAGAAATCATAATAACGATCCCAAAAAAAGTAGGTTTTTTTCGGCTACAGGTACGTACTGGCTGCCGTACGGCAAACGGAATTCTGAAGCCAAGGCTTAGCATGAAACCGACGCCCAAAGCAATTCTCTACTAGGTATAGCACCGCTTTTTTCCTGCTGGCATCATGCAGCTGGCCAGGGGTTTCTTGCCAGCTTCGACATCTGATGATCTGGGGTTTAGGGTTCGGGACTTGTTAGCTCTTCTCTCTATCTCTATTTACACGCAGGGTGAGCTGTGGGTTCTTGAGGGTTCTGCCCCTTGTGGGCGCCCTCTCCGGCAAGCAGAAGGCAAGCAGAAAATTGACATCATAAATCATGGCCTGTTTCAGCCACTGGGCCATGCCGGCTTGAACCCGGGGGCTGACTCCAACCGACAAAGACGTAATGCAGGAGCCTTATAATTAGAATAGGGTCTTGGGGTATATTATACTATCGCTATAATAAGGAACCCCCAAAATAGTATCGATAATTATTTAGTCCCCTAGAGTTACTACTTAACGGAGAACATACTCTGTTTTGAAGCCAACTGAAACCCCAAACCGCCAATCTGCATAGGGCTTAGCTGCGAAGCCTCAGCTGCTAAACGGAAATGTTGCTTGGGATGGTAGTAACGGGAGGATTCACAGGATGCGAGCCTGGTGGCTTGTTAGTCCCTGCCTTCTTCTAGTTGCTGGGTAGTTCTCTAAACTACTTGTCCCTGATTGTTTCAAGCTTTTGTAACAATGACCCCAAAAGCTGATAAAGCAAGAACTCCCAAAACAGACGTGGTGTGAAAACCTGTGTGCCCCGCCGCCCCCAAAGTAAGCTTTCAAAACCACTCGTGCGTGAAAGCTCGACGATGGAAGCAGAGACTGTAAAAACATGCCCCTAAACCCTAAGCCCCTAAATCCCAAAGTCGCTAAACCCTAAACCCGAGAGCCCGCCGGAGCACTGAGCCCCTGAACCGAACCCTAAGGACGCTTTAACCCTAAACCCTAAACCCTAAACCCTAAACCGTGGGCTGCGAGGAGTCACGGAGTCACGGACCCTGACCCTGGCGCTACTTCTTAGGGGCTGAGTACCCGTAGCCCAAAAAAGGTTAACCTTTTCAATTATGGTAGGATTATATAAGCCGCAAAAGGTTAAAGGTTACCCCTAAACCCTAAACCCTAAACCCTATACCTAAACCCTAAACCCTAAAGCCTAGAAGGCTCTACTCAGCCACTAAGACTTCACTTCTGCTGATCTTTGCAGCATGTCCTGCAGCCACTGCTCACCATCCTGCAGCAAACTACCAGTGGTCTCCATCCTATAGGGTTTAGGGTTTAGGGTTTAGGGTTTAAGGTTTAGGGTTGAGGGTTTAGGGGCCTATAGTCTCCATTGTAGTTCCTTTTTGAGGATACCTTATATAACTTCCTTAATATTATAATTGGTTCAACCAAAAACAGGAAGTACAATGGAGACTATAGGTAAGTCTTGAGGAGGAAGCTCGGGATTCAGGATTCTCAGGTCCAGAAACTTCTGACTCGCATTGAGGTTTTGGCATCTAGGCCTCTTCATGACCAGAGGAGTTATCGAGAAACTGCTTGGGGATCTACTTTCACCGGACCGCATCTCCAAGGCAACACCCCAAAGACTCGAAAACACCCGACCTTCCTGTTGTCTGACTTTGCCAGTGCATGGAGGACCAAGACAGTAAACGAGCATCTGTGCAGACTTTACCAGCGTGTTTTGATGTTGAACAGTCAAACTGCTCATGCAAGCACCGAATCACCATGATTAGTTATTTCCCTACAGTAAAGGTCCTCGTGCTCATATGGTATATACTTTGGCCCCAATGTATAAACTAGATGGGCACATGGACCCTTAGAAATCTGTATCTTCGTCTACAGCTGCATGCCTCAATTGAAATGCTTCATCTCAAACAGTGCTCGGCTGCAAAACCGATGCCCATCCTATTTTGGTAAGGTTCTGGCCATGGAACTAGACATTGCATCCAAGCTACTGCCCGTTGCTTGCATTGTCGCCGGTTGCTTCTATGATACCCTAAACCCTTAAGCCTATACCCTTAAGCCTAGACCCTAAACCCTTTCCTCTACATTTTTAAGCCCTAAACCCTAAACCCTGAACCCCAAGAGGTAGCCGATCTGCCGAGCGACCGCACTACTTAAGCTGCGACTGAGCCTCGCAACCAATGCTCAACACGCACCACCAAAGAATGGGGAGTAAAGGAGGGACCCTTAAAGGGACCCTTGGGCTTTATGAGACCATATAAGGGGTAGGGGTATAGGGTATTTGGATTAGGGGTCCCTTCTAGGGGTCCCTCCTATTGTCCCTTAGAAGAAGCCCTACAGTATGAGCAGCCTAAGCCGTAAGATGCTGAACCCTAAACTCCAAAGCCACAAGACCTAACAGCGAGGTACAGATAGTCTCCGACATTGCCTCAGGCATGATCAAGTTGCACTTCCTGAGCTCGGGGCTGCGTTGAGTCGAGCAATGACATATTTCGTTTACGGTTTAGGGTTTGGCAAATCTGCAATCTTACGTCCGTGGATGTGCGTGTCATGAGTAATAGCCCCCCCCAACCATGATGCTTCGAATCTGGCAGTAAGTCAGGTCAGTAATGGGAAATATCTATGGGGAGCAAGGCTCAAACCCAGACCCCCAAAAGGATCTAAAAAATAGATCTCCTAATTAGGGACCCGAACTACTACAGGGGTACTTTATAGGAGACCCCCAAAAGGATCTAAAAAATAGATCCCCTAATTAGGGACCCTAACTACTACAGGGGTACTTTATAGGAACCCCCCTAGGGGATCTATTTTTTAGATCCTTTTGGGGGTCTGAGAACAAGAGGGGACCGACTTGTACCCCTGCCAGGCGATATGAGAGGACAACGAAACGACCTTATTAGTTAACCCCCCCCAAACTCAGAATGCCAAGACCTCAATGCGAGTCAGAAATTTCTGGACCTGAGAATCCTGAATCCCGAGCTTCCTCCTCAAGACTTACCTATAGTCTCCATTGTAGTTCCTTTTTTTGGTTTAACCAATTATATATTAAGAATTTTATAAGGCAATGGAGACTCAGGTAACCCCCAAAGTCAGAAAACCTAGCCCTACATCCAACCGCATGCTCAGCCAAATCTCTTTGGATAGGCTACCCCCTGAATAGCACCCAAGCTAACGAATTTGCTCTACAGTAAGCTTACGTCAGATGAAGGGTGCGGGATGTGAGAGTGAACGAACATGTGCGGGAAAGGCAATACCAGTGCAATGTAGCATGCTACATGTGCTAAACGTCTTTCTGGGCCGTAAGTCTTCGATCGAAAGGCAATATACTTTAAATTCCAACCTTGTGGACGGTCGGGGGACTTCGTAAGCAATCACTATGGATAATTATAAACCTACTCCTGGATGGGACCGAATTGGGGCTCTGATTCCGATATAGCTGCATAAAATTACTCCTTGCTACATCCCCCGACCTTCCAAGTACGCGCTAAACCCTAACACCTAAACCAGTGCCCTACACCTTACAGCCCTAAACCCCCGAATGAAAAAAACTCCAAGCACGAAGCCCTCTACCCAAGTCATGTACCGGGGCTCACATAAAGGTCGCCCCGTTCTGTGGGATCTCCCCTATGGGGAAAGCCCTCACCACGGATGCGGAGGATTGCCTGAGCCACATTTAGGGCTTCGAGGTTTGAGGGTTTGGGGTGTAGGGTTTAGGGATTGAGGGCCCTAGGGGTGTGGGGATTGGAAGATTTGATCTGGAATTTGGGGGTTTACGGTTGGAGGGTCTTGAAAGGCTGATGCAGGGTATACAAGGGGCTTGCTTGTACAAGGGTGTTGTATGGTTCTGCCAGGGTCCTTGGAGGGGCTGATGAATTTAATGTTTTGTAATTTAGGGTTACCGTAGGGCAGTACGTATACCGAAGATATCACAAGGGGGGCTTCAACAAATCGAAGGCTCCGTTTTGGCCCTTACAGTGAGGATCCCACTGTTCAGGTTCATTTGTTGGCCCCCCCTGCTTTCTCGGTGGTTGTGTGTGTGTGTGTGAGTTGAGGCACAGCCTCGAACCTAAACATCCCGAACACGCTAAACCCTAAACCGGAACGCATCCAAATTTAGACCCGTTTAAAACCCTGAAGCCCTCGGGCAAAAGACTCCCTCTAAACCCCGTAGCCCTCATGCTAAACCCGGCACCATAAAGACCTTGAGTGACAAAACCTGAACATCCAAACACCATGGACCCTGCCCTATATAAATAATGTAGGGGCCTGAATAATCAGAATAGGGTTTCGGGCCCCAGTATACTATAATTGTATAAGGAACCCCCAAAATAGTATTGGTAATTATTTCGGCCCCTATATTATATACATGCGTAATTCCTATAAGAGCGTTGAAGATACCTTTGCCAAACAAGGCACGGATGGCTTCGTGACCTGTCGCTCGTAGAAGGGGTTCAAGGATTGCACTACAACGGCAGCTGAGCTGCTGCCATTACTTGAGACACTTGAGTTTGGGTTTTGAGCATATAGAGCTTTGGGATTCTGACTGTTACTAAAGTTAAAAACCCCTAATGCAGGCCATCATAGGGTCCCATGTATACAGAATACTACGTCTCTCGTTTAAATCACTATCCGCGATTAACCGTAGCTGAAGCTCAGAAAGGCCTTTCTGGAACAAACATCCACATGTGCCTTGCTCCAAATTGCAGGTCCCGGATTTTTAGGTCTTTAAAGTTCAGCTCTAAGTCAGACGAGCAGACTACTCCGCTTTTGCCTACTGCCTCTGGATTCGGGTTAAGGACTGCTCGGGTTCTAGGGCTTCCGAGACGTTGACTCTACAACTCTGCAACACCGCAAAAAAGGCTGAGTTTCCCTAAACCCTAAGCCCTAAAACCCTATACCCTAAACCCTGAAACTTGCCAAACGAAACGCCCTCAGGTCAACAGGTGCTTGGGTACTAACCCCTCCGGCTTGCAATTCAAAGTACAAACCTCCTGGGCCTCCACCACACCCTGCCATGAAAGCCTAGGCCTAAACCCTGATCTTAAATCCTAAACCCTGAAATTCTAAACCCTACCTGGACCCTAAAGAACCTACCTTTTTAGGGTCCCTTATTATGAACTCTTCATATAAGTCCCTAAAAAGGTAGGTTATTTGGGGTCAAGGTAAACCCTAAACTTAAACCTTAAACCCTAAACTTAAGCTAACCCCTAAACCGACTGCCTTGCTGTAGGAGAAATGGATGGTTCGCCCATCCAAGTGCCGGACGGTGCGCTCGAAGCCCAGCAGGGCCTGTACTGGTTTAGGGTTTAGGGGTTTAGGGTTTAGGGTTTAGGGTTCCTGAATTCATAAGTGACCCTTAGGGGGGCGGGGGGGCGGGGGGTTAGGGGGGAGGGCTGTAGGGGACTATACTTCCTTAACTGGGCCTTATTGGGTCCTTATTGCTGGTATTAAGGCTCCCGACCCCCTCCCGCCTACCCCCCTAAGGGTCCCTATATAATGATTAATGGGGCTCCAAGAAAATACCCGTCAGAAGAAAGGGCCCATGGCACATCAGTACACATTCGGCTATAGCCTGAGTATGCCAACCAAGTATAGTACACATACATATATATATATATATATATATACATACACACATACAGTTGTATACATGTGTAACTAGTAACTAGTTGCTTGTTTTGTTGTAGATAGTGCTGGCGGGCTGCAGCGAGCATCTATCAGCAACCTTGTGCGTACTTCGCTCTGGCAGCAACAATGCAAAACAGCGGCAATAGCACCAATAAAAGAGCAACATTCAAAGCATAGAAGCTCAAGGAGCTGTCCCTGATTCAAGTAATCGCCTACAGCCCCACAGTCCGGAAGCACTCTGCAGCGGACACCAGCTTCCTTTCAACATAGTAGGGTAATCATTCTCGGTTCTGCCTGTGCGCCACAGCATACATAGAACACTTCAGCTCCTGCATTTTCTGACCACGGCACGCAGAACGAATCAAATGTTCTGTGCAGGCGTGCTCAATTCTGTCCTCCTGCGCAGATTTGCGCCGGGCACACTCCCATGAACAGGGCCAGCTGGAACTCTAGGAGCATCCCGGGTTCATATAGGGGCCTTAATAATTACAATAGGGTTTGGGGTATCATTATCATAAGGAACCCCCCCAAAAATAACATTGGTAATTATCTAGGCCCTGTATTAATCCCAAAGGATCCAAAGTATGCTAGAATGTCGCGTTTCTATAATCGGAATTGCTGTTACTATTATGGTCTGGGCAAGTATCCCCCGTATAGGTACGTAGCACCCTTCGGGAATAGAAGTGTGCCACCGTGAGACAAGAGATCCACCCCTACACGCCTCTTGGGCACGGGTCACGCCAGACATGGGCTGACAAACCGTGCAGGCAGAGTCTTGCAAAGCAAATTCGTACCCAAAAACCTCGATCTGTCGATCTTCCATCTGCCTTCGGTTCTTCTATAAGGGTTACGATAAGTCGGCAATTATAAAGGTTACTATACTGGTCAATGTAAGGGTTTCTAGAAGGGTACTAAAATGCTTAACCCTTACAAAGAGCTGCTATTCGAGATCATAGTGGACCATATACAGCCATCCGAGGGCACAAGGAGACTTCTGAAATCCTTCAGATTTCCTTGCCATGGGCCGCCAGCGACCGTGGCATGAAGCTACGGAACGTCCACCTTCAGCACCAAGCGGTTCCTCCGCTGCAGGGTATCCGAAATAGACGCTTCAGCTGGGAGAGCAAATTCCAAAACTGCGAATCGGGCTTTGGGGCATGTCACACTATACCTGTAGTCTCCATTGTAGTTCCTTTCGGGGGATACCTTATCAACTCCTTAACTTATAATTATAGTTGGTTAAGCTACAATGGAGACTACAGGTAGGCTTTTATCGGGAACTGTGAGGAACAGTATCATCAACTCAATGAACTCTGCAGGCTTCTGTATTACCTGAGCCGCAACTAGAAACCTCATGAGACTCGCGGCTGAGATGACATCGTGGCGAAGTGCCCTAGCACCAAAAAAGTTAACATGAGGGTTCTATACCGGTTGTCATACGAGTTACTCTAAAGGTTACCAGAAGGGTTAGAGTAGGATTTCCATAAGGCCTACTAGGAGACCGAAAGAAATTAACCCTTGCAATACATGGTAGAGGCAGGTATTCACCCAACGATGCTAAAGACTACCCACCTTAGAATCAGAAGAGAAGGAGTTATTGCGTAATATAGGAGTGCCTGTTTACCAGCCATCCCTCCAATCTTGAAATTCAGTTCGCTGCTCTTCCAGGTTCATATAAACGTCTATGTTTATGTATAAACAACAACCATAGATCAAAACAATAATGTGACTATGAATAATTCTAAATTTGATACACATATGTATAACCCTAAACCGTGAACCCTAAACCCTAAACCCAAACGGTTTAGGGTCTAGGGTTTACTAGTTACTCAGACACCAACGTTACAGTTCGTACCCGAACTCGAACCCCTCATAATAGGACGGGGTATTCAAACACCTATGCTAGATTTCCTGCCCAGAACCCTAAACCCTGACCCCTTAAACCCTAAACCCTAAACCCTTAAACCCTTAAACCCTAAACCCTAAACCCTAAACCCTAAATCCCTAAACCCCGAATCATCCAAGCGAGCTTCACAACCCGGCCGTCGTCGTGGCGCCGAATTTCGGGGGACTTGTGGACCAAGCCCTTCGCACCATGAGGGAACTTCTTGCCTTGGAATAGGGTTTAGGGTTCGTTAGGGTTTAGGGTTTCGGGCTCCAAGAAATCTGCTAGATCCTACCGTCTTCTTCCGTTTTTTGGCAGGGTTGCGAGAATGTTCATTATGTGCGCATGTATGTGTAGGTACTTCTTACGTATTGAGCCCTGCGGAAAGTAGGTTCCAGCATGGTAGGGTCGAGTTTGAGAGTGTAGGGCTGAGTCAGCAGCTGAGAGCATCGCATGTACGGATCAGGACAGGAAGCCAGGGTTTGGGGTTGAAGGGGCAATGTCTAGAGGCTAGGGTTTAGGGTTAAGACGGTTGAGGGTCTAGGGTTTAGGGTTTGGGGTTTAGGGTTAAGGCGGTGGGCTCGGGCAGGTGAAGGGCAAAAGGATGCAACAGGAATATTCGGAATATGGGATCGTTTTCTAGAAGCCTCGTATAAGTCCAAGATGCCCTTCATGAAGAAGACATCGCCTACCCCAACGCTGCAGACTTGGGATGCATCCTTGATGATTTTGTCATTGCAGCCACAGTAGTCCAGCTCCCAGAAGTTCACGATGTCATCTGGTGCATAGACGGTGCCGGCCGAATTGTACGTAACGATGGCCCTCGCGCAGTAGTTGTCGCGGTGCCACCTACTGCAGGCGCTCTCCCCCATGACTTCAAGCTTGAAAAGGTAAGTGTTGCTCCAAGGACACAAATGGGTCACCACCTTGCCGATGTCAAGCACATCACCGCGGATGGTGCTGCGTAGATCTTCAGGAAGCCTGACCCTCACCTTGTTCAAGAGATTCTCTGCTACCTCTGCGAGGTCGGCGCCGCGCTTGAATTCGATCTTGATCTCCTCCTCTTCCCTGATGTCTCCCTGTTGGACGCCTTGATCTAATGCCTCCTGAAAGTCCTTCCACCAAGGCTGTCTCTCGACAAGAAGGGCCTGGTGCTTAGCACTTTCCGACACAAGCCAATCTGCAAGCGTCGTTCCC